CCATAACACATTTCTCCATGTTTCACCAATAGTTCAAACAATGCTATGTGGTGCAGATGATACATAACTGTTTTCACACCATAAAAGTCAAGTGATGGGTTCTGTACAGCTCACTCATCCTCCTGTAACACCTCAGCTGTTTGTGGAGATGTGGTGTTGATCATCGACAGCTGTGAGGGTGATGTTGTTGGGGTCTGGGTCTGCAGAGAGGGTGATGTTGAGTGGGTCTGCAGCAGCTGAGAAAAAAAGAAGAATTGGAGATACCTGAGGGGTCTGCAGCAGCTGAGAAGGAGGATTTGGAGATGACAGATGGCTCCATACTAAAGATGTCGAGTTTGGTGTTCCGACGGTTAATGCACCCTATTATTTATTTTTAAAGGAAAAAAAAACATTTCGGAAAAAAAGAAGACAAACTCAGTATAATAAAATAACGTAACACACATTTTATAATTATATTTAAAACAAACACAACCCACCACTTAGTCATCAGAAGTCAGGGTGTCTGATGATGATAAACTACACTCAGACATTCCTTGACTTTTAATGTGATGAAGCTGGTTAAGTAACAGTCCAAACACAGAGTCGTTCCTTGTGGAGCCACTGGAGGGAGCCTTTGCCAAACAAAGATGAGGGCAGTTGAAAGCGTGGGACAAATGAAATGACACTCTTTCCGTATAAGAGCTTTGAAGCATTTGAACACAGCAGAGATGGAGAGACTATTTTTAGAATCACTTCCTATGAAAGCTGTATATTTTTTGATCAGCAGGATTTTTCAGGTTAATGAAAAAGTAAGAATTATAAAAGCAAAGAGCTGTCTGCATGTGAACCAGAGCGGTGGAGTGGAGAAGTCAACGTCAAATCCGCACTGACCTTTACACTACCTGCAGGGAACACTCATCATTCCAGATAGAGCTGCAACATCATTACATATCCTTGCAGAGGTCTTGTGGGACTATTGTTCTGCTGTAAAAGCTCTGTTTAGGCAACATTGCCATCCGTTCAAGGCTGCAGGCAGAGCGCTGAATAACAATGTGAGTCATATTAATGCTATGGAAACCAATGTTTTCCAAAGACAAAGCCCAGAACAGACAAATGCATGTTTGATCACACAGTGTGGGATAACATACACTTATATAATGGGAACATCTTGTCAGGTATATACAGGCTATAACCCCCCCTCCTCCCCTCTGAGGTGTGCGCTCTCTGGTGCATTAACAAATGAGTCCATTCAAGTGAGTGCTGTTAAGATACTGAGCTTTCGCCGTAGAGTCTGCTGCTGCTTTTCCACTCTACGATTTTATAAGTGTGTTCAGTTAATGTAGGGTTGTAGCAGGCCTTCAAAAACGAGTGAGATTTGATGTTTTCTGTTGAATTCAAGAAGAAAGACAAAATGTTGAGAATTAACTCTAAATGTCATGAATTCTAATGTTGTGGATCAGGACTGCATACGAAAAAAACCAAGGCAAATAAGGATTTCTATCTTGTTCATTTTGTTTTAAATGTCAATAACCAAATCAAAATGTTGAAAAGTCAGAATGTCAGCCATAAAGTTGAAATGTTGAGATTAAACCTAAAAGAAAAGCATCAAAATGTCAATAAAGATGAGGTCCAAATCCCCAGAATAAACTCAAAATATCAAAAACCCTTTAAAGCCTTTAAAACAGCATTATAGAGGAATTCAGTTTGGTGCACTCTGGCACCCATCAAAGACCTATGTGTGCAACTACACCTTTGTTAAACAGAGTGTATTCACATATAGGGCTTTCACACTTCTAACTCCTGAAAAACTCCTGATATTTTCCAGAGGAGCAGTATGTGTCAGTGCCAACACCAGAATTTTTCGCTCAGACTTCACTTTTCACGATCATCAATCAATCAATCAATCAATCAATCAATCAATCAATCATTATTTGTATAGCGCCAATTAATAACAAGTGTTAGCTCATAGGGAGCATAGGGGATAATATGGAGGAAGGATTTTTCCTTTGTATTCCTCACGTTCCTGTTGTCCACACTGCCTTGAGGTGGAGGTCGGAGCAGGCTGTGCATGAATCCCCATCCTCTTCTGTCTCTTAGCCTCAGCCATTGTATCAAACAGTACGGAGAGGCTAACTAGCTGCTTTGTTGCTGCAGGCTGCTGTGTGAACTAGTGCCATAAAGCAGTACTGGTCTTGAGAGAACCTCGGCCCGCTGTCAAAGTTTGACGCAGTTCTCCCTGTTGAAAGTTTTTGTACTTTAAGATCAAAAGTTACATATTGTTGCTTTAAATGTTGAATAAATTAAAATATGGTGAAAAATCCAGTCAGTTTTTCAGCAGAACCAGGTGCAGACCAACAACAGTTAAGGTGTTAAAAGTATTTTATTAAAAAGCTGTCAGGGGGGTTAGTGAAGGGCAGCTGGTGGGGGTCCATGTCTGGGGAGTTGGGAAGTGATCTGTGGGGAAGGCTGCTATCTGGCAGGGTGTGTAAGTGATGTGAGGTGTGCTGGCAGATTGAAGTTCTGTGAAAGGCACATCTGGCATCATTGCAGGGTTCTTCAAGGAACAGGTGATTGCTTGATAGCTGGCAGGTGTGTTGATTGCATATTCAGCCAGATGAGAAGAGAGTGAAGAGGGAGGGAAAGGGGAAACATCAAGCACTACACTCACAGTAAGGGTGCATTTAATACAAAAAAAATATAGAAAAAAAATAAAAAATAAAAGGGTGCATTTACACCTCAGCTCTTTGGTCAGTTTGAAACTAAATCTGGTGTAATTTGTTAGATATTTTGTTTGGTTTGGGTCGGTCTGAATGCTCAAACAAACTCTGGTGTGCAGCAAAGAACCGAACTTTGGTCTGAATGAAAAAGTGGATCCCTGTTTGCATCCAAGTTTGGTTAGCCGTAGGTGAGAATTGCGATCTGGACCAAACAAGGAAAGTGAACCAAAAAGCAGTGCATTGTGGGTTGAATTTGGCCAACTATAAACAATGTCAAATAGGTTTGCTGAGCGTGGCTCACCTACGCCTCGCTACTGGATACCATTCTTCAACTTCCCTGTTGTTTACTTTCGGGTCATAGTGCAGCATTAGGCCGCATTGCAGTGGGCACTGACTGGAGCCACAGCCCCATCTAGTGTCTGATGGCGACATTTGACAGGCTTCGGTGCGCTTGACAGAGTGCAGTGGGAAAGCAAACAGAACCAAATGAATAATGCAACAATGTTGCAACTTCCCCTTAACTTCATATGTGAGTGCAACCTAAAAAAATCTAGTGAGCCTTCAAGATACTACGTCTTTGCAAAATCATAAAGTCTGTGACAAACATGTCTTTAGATATGGTTTGCAACACTGTAGCATTCTAACGTCTAACAGTTTTGAAGTCTTCTGGTATATAATAAAGACAAAACCTTTGAAAGCAGAGTCATAAATCTCATCTCTTTTGCTTCAGGAATGGGGACGTAGAGTTGGTTCAGCAGAGTCTGATACAGAGCAGCACACAGCTGCTGTCGTCTCTTCCAGATTCAGTCCTTTGGGTTCTGCAGCATTTGGTGAACTCAGCAGGCTGCTAATGGAAGAAGGGAAGAAAGCCAAATCCATATAAATTAGACTGTCGTGCTCCTTTAAAACTGCGTATGTGTTGCACTTTAAAGTAGTGATGGAGCAGAAACGCCGCTGATACCCCTCACTGCTGTACAGAGAAATAAATGTTTCCCATTAGTTTCACAGGCAAATACACTTGTTTAACAAAAAAACAAATGTGTACAACTGGAATGATTAGCCTTTTCACTGAAGTCACGATTTCAAAGTCCAGAATTAAAGCAGCCTAGTCGGGTATGAAACTAAGAACAGCAATTGCTGCTGAAGTTGCTTTCCTCCTTAAATATCACATTATTATTATTATTTAGTAGAATACAGTCAGAAGCAGAGTTGAACAACATGTTAAGGACCCCTGAGACAAAAACCTCTTTAAGTATCATTCCACCTTTTTGATTTCATGAACTCACTACTAACTCAATATTTGGTGATGGAAATAAATTTGAAAGCTCTATAAAGTGACAGACCCAAATTTGATAGCAATGTCATTTCGAGCTTTTATTTTGTGACAATGTTGGCGCCCCCAACAAAAAAGGCAGTCAAAGCAGGCAAGTCTTAGCCATAGACGAAGTGAAGTGAAGTTACCACTCTGTTACTGCAGGGGGCTTTGGAAGAACTGTCTTCAGCGGTCGTCATGCTGCAAATGTTGTCTCAACCTAACTTTCAGTCAACCTAACGACAGGTTAATAGTTAGAGCTGAGGCGGGTTTTAAGCCCTTTGACAAACCATGCATCACTCCCGTCTGTCAATCAGGTTAGACTCAGGTCTGTTGAGAATAACACTTATCCTTCATAAAATTAAAACGCATAAGTACAGTGTGTGCTGATAAGAACAAGAACTAATCAGGCAGCATGTTAATTTCTTCTGGGTGTGTATTAGACTCCTGGTGCTTTTTTTTTTTTTTTTTTTTTTAGTTTCAAGCTTTTTATTGCCAGTCGGGGGGACCAAGGAAACATTGGTTCTGTAAATGAGAGTGAATTTGTATCCCGTCTTTAGCGATGGGGGTATCAGTCTGAGAAGACTACATAGCCCTCAGAAGATGATCTACTGATTTCTCCTTTCTGGTGCTTCTGGAGCCAGCCTCAAGTGGACACCTGAAGAACTGCAGTTTTTTGTACTTCCCCATTTGCTTCATTTTTCAACACAGGAGATTGGTTTTAGCTCTTGGATAATATTGTCCTGCTCATGTGTAAGTAGAGTTTTCTTCCTTTTTAAAGATTATTTTCCAGGTTTCTATAACTTTGTTAAACAAGACGCTGCCAGCACAGAAAGCGTCCTCAGCGGACACAGATCCCAAACATCTAAAAAGTATTCCAACAAGAAAAAACCTCAAAATAACTTCTTGTCAGCTCATGTCTTTCCCCGAGATGTACATCATGAAAGGTACATTATACTTTGGTTTTATCAGACTTTTTTATTTGTGTCTTCAGGAAATCTGCTTTGGGGATATGTTGAAGTATTTCACTCTTTTTCGCCAGTTGAAAAAAAAAATAGATTGTAAGAACCAATGAGAGAAAAGTGACTCGTTCTGAAGTGTTTTCTGTGGTGCGACAGCTGTGAGAGGACACGGGAAAAGAAACACAGGAGAGATGTTAGCAGTTACATCAGCCACGAGGGGGTTACATAATAGTGTTTAACAAAATCCTTTAACATCTGACCATTTAATATATATATATACATCTCTATAAATCTAAGTGCCTTTGCTGTACAAGATATATAATATTTGCACAGTTTTCCTCCATAAGAAAACAAAAAAATCATCTCATGTATATACATCATTTAAACAACACAGTATTCTCTCAGTGTTTCATTATTCACACATCTCATCACCAAACTCCTACATTTCTCTCATCATCATTATTACATCACTGCAGTACCATTATATCATTGCATTAAAAAAATAGAATATAACCAATAGAAATAGAATCAGCCGGAAAATACATTTCTGACAGCATGGATTAGTTTTTCTCAATTCAGATTTCTTGGCTCTAGGGTGTAACTTTGGATCATGTTTCAGATGTGACAGGTTAAATATTAAAATATGTATCAGCTCTTTATGGGACAGAAGAAAAAAATTTGAAGGAAGAAACCAAATAAAATCCACACATAACACTTACTGTTTGGCTCTTTTCTCTACAGCAGAGGTTGAATAATAAAACGGTCTGCTTCTATACACCCTGTGTACTACCTGTCAGTACCTGTCAGTACCCGTGTCCAATTGGAGCTGTTTTTGGCACTTTCCTGTTTTCCCTTCTGTCTTAATCCTTGCCTTTGATGAACATTTGGTTAAAAAAAAAAAGTGTCTGCAAAATTAAATTATGACATTTTATTACCCTGCTGTGTTGAATACTTGACTCTGATTGGCCAATTACCATAGCAACAGTCTCCCTAGTTATCCCTCAATAGGCCACAGCTATTAAGGAAAACAAACAGGGTGCAGGGTTCCTAGTGGATAGGTTACGCTCCATGCACAGAGGTTAGAGTCCTCCAATAGGGTGGCCCGGTTCAAGTCTGGGGTCTCTTTCCCTACTTGTCATTGCCCACACACCGTCTCTCTCTCTCTCTCTGATTCCCTTCTTTATCCATGGTTCCATCTAATAAAGGCAAAAGAAAAAGAAAAAAAATAGGAGAACAAACCATTACTGAGAAAAGCATTTAGCTGATAATGACGCAGCTCTAATCACAGACTCAGGAGGACTGACTGTAATCATATCAATCTACAATATGACATTGTTCTGTTTACAGCGGGAAAAGGAGAAAGGAGAGGATAACTAGGGCGAAAGACGGATAAAAGACATAGAAACTGTACACTGTGACAGAGAAACCTACAATACTGAAGATGGCCCATGATGTAAACCCTGGAACGGGCTATGGGATATAATGGTGTTTAAAGATGAAAAATCGAACCCAATCAGGTGGGTGAATGCGTTCACCTTGCTTCACATTGGGTCTTACTTAATAATCAGTGGAACTGTTCCGTTTAATGTGACTCTATCTAATCTAACTCTAGATTCCAATGGACCATTATGCTGAGCAGAATAGGTTTTTGTAATGAAATAATAATTTGGTTTGAAATGATTGATTTTCTAAGTAGCAGTGTGATGAGCTGGATAATGCATAGCGAGGTGGGTTGTTATCGCTGAGGAACCCCTTCAGGTTGATCAAGACCCTTCAGGTTCATGTCAGGGTCCTGCTCACCCTGTTGGGGATCCACTGAGTGATAACAACCTGCTCCCTCTACATTATCTCTGACATAAAATAGTCAAAATCATCAAAGGTAATATCGCTCAGCTGTCAGCTCCTGCTAAATCAGTAAAAGTGCTTTAATTTAGGAGACCATGGTTACCAAGGTTACCATTAAAAAAGGTGCAAAAATCATGCTGCAATTATAAAAAGTGAGAAATAATCTGTATGTAAAAAGTGTTTTTGTAAACCGACCATAAAAAAATCATTTTAAAGGGACTCTTTGGTGTTGCACTAACACAACTTAATTTCAATATGGACCCAGCCAGTATGACGTTATATTTTCCACTACATTCTTGTTTTTACCTCTGTATCTGTTTTGAATATTTAGTTAGTTTGTATGAGCCAATTAGAGACGGAGTAGGGAAAGTCATCCCTTCACCATCCTAGGAAAAAAATTGCAGCATACCATGGATATTGTTAATCAATCATTGGTGTGAATCAGAGGAGATTTAGAAGTGGGTATACCCTATAGACTGACAAATAAGTGGGCATACTCCTTATACCCGTGTATATCCTGCACTACACCACTGACCCTGCCTCTCGCCCAATGACAGCTGGGAACAGCTCAAGCCCCCCTATGACCCCGAATAGGAAAAGCAGTATAGATAATGGAAGGATGGGATGGAAGTTATGAGTTTAAAAAATAACTTATGGATTATATAAACATAACTTACATACAGTTGTAAACGGTACTGTAACTTTTTCATTGTAGAAATGTATTTTTGGTGTCGCTTTTGCCTTTATTTAGACAGGACAGCAGATAGATTAGGGAATCGAGGAAAGAGAGAGAGAGTGGGTAATAACGTGGAAAAGAAGCAGAGGGTCGCAGTCAAACCTGGGCTGCTCACTCGATGGACTCTAGCCTCTGCACATGGTTCATGTAAACTAACTGCTAAAAACAACCAGCGCCCAAAACCAACGCTGGCTTCAAAATAACATATTTGAAAAGAAGTCAACCCTGACTGTTTGTTAAACCTTTTGTCCGTGTCGGACTACCAAGACATTCACGCCCTTTATTCTATGTCAACCGACTTTAACAGTGAATGAAAACAATAAGGTGGAGGACAGCGTGCAGAATCAATGCTGGAGGGATTCATAAAGCATCACACCAATTTTGACAACTTGGAATGGAGAACTGGCCGTTATACCTTTTTTTTTATATGTTGGTATGATGCACTGAACATTTAATTTGAGGGAGGTTTGACAGAAACAAAACAGGCACTAAATGTGGGTGTGTTTTCTGCAGGCCTGTTATAATAAAGAGTGCTGTATTAGTTTTAGATATATGAACCTCATAAACACTCAGGACCTGTGGGATCCTTAACCACAGGTGTTCAGACAGCTTTCTTGGTCTGAATCGGTAATAATTATGGCTTTCCTTTTTTATACAAACCTGAATAACCTCCTGACTTTCTACTTCTGCCTCTCACAGTTTGTGAACACCTCAGTAAGTATAACAGCAAAATCCAGTCTGATGACTGTTTGTGTGCAGTGCATTAGCGGCTCTCTGATCCATCACTGAGTCCCAGACCATGCAGGACATGGTGCTATAACTCATAAGAGAGCTTCAGTGATGTGTAGAGCTGCGCACATGCTGCACTTAAAGTTATTGGGAAGATAAAATATGAGTGGTGTAGTATAATATTCTGAAAATATGAAATATTCCTCTACTGTAAAGTATTTGATATTATAAAAAAGTTATAGAGAATCATTTCATGTCAGGTCTATCAGTATTCTACAATATATACAAACTATCATACTGTTAATGTTTGTGGTAAAGTGTTTTGTTACATGTGGCAATCCTCTTTAAATACTGAAGAGACGTTGCAAAATGCACATATAGAAAATGACTGTGATGAATTAAACATATATGCTCTGAAAATCCTTTGGTTAAAATGAAGAAGCTGTTATATATAGATCAATCTCTCTGGGATTAAATGATTGATACGTTTATATCCATTAGTGATTGATGATATGATTGTATTTGTTAAGTCAAAGACTTAAATTCTCCGGATTGTCTTTATAAATAATCTAAAAAGGCAAAATAACGGGACACTCGTTTGGTCATTCGTTTGGACGCGATATGATGCATCAACACAAATCAGGGTTCTTCACTATGACTTTGCTTTTTTCAAAATATGTTTGTCTTAGGTCCTCTGTGAATTATTCTGTCACTCAGGTGTCATGCTGTAACTCTTCAGTTTTACCTGTAGACTGTCATCATCTTTTTTTCTGGCCAGAAGTGAGCATATGTAGATGAGAGCTTGCAAATGCTAAGTTTATGCTAGAAAAAGTTTATAGATGGGATGCGCTGACGTCACTTTTCCACCCGGACACAACCCCTCGGTCGGACTAAACATCCTGCAACATAGCTGCCTTCAGAAGGGGGAACAACAAAAACAGATTAAAACAGACAAATATTTGCTTAAATTAGGAGAAGTAGGACTCGATGGAGCTCCCCAAGGACGCAGAGGTCTGTGGACGTTATCATGAGGCCAGAAATCAGATGTCCAGACTGAAATACACCTGCAGAGCCAGGGAAGTACGCAAGCAACACCTCTCTCAGAGTTTTGAAGTTTTTTTTGTTTTTTGTGCAGCATTCAGGCTGAACGTTGATGCTGCCTCTCAGTATGTGTTTTCTGCCACTCAGTGGGTGTAACCACAGACAATTCTGCCTATCATGACGTCACATGCATGGCCTCTGTTAAGCACGGTGTTTATTGCGGGTGGGAAATCCGTCTGTGTCTGCCTCAAGGGCAGCTCTGCCTCCTCAGATAATTTCTTGAGAATAAAAAAAACTACAATGCCGGTGGCTGTTTTCATAATATTTGGTGTGTAAAGCAGACTACCGTTACTCCTGGTGAAACATGCAAAATATTCTGGGTGTGAAATCCTAAGAGCTTTACTGATTAGTCAAAAGAGATGCATGTTACATTAGTCCCAGGTATGACCTTCATGGCAAATGATAATAACCAACATAACATTTGTTTCAAGGTTAAAATTGTGCAAATCTTTCTGGAGTGCAATCAGCAAAAACTCAAGTCCTTTTTCCACTAATTTCTTAGCCTGCAATCAGAGTGAGAGCCATGATTATGACACATCATCACATGGAGTTGGTACACAGTTCCCTCAGAGCAGTCGAACAGTGTCCTTTTCAAACTGAGCTGCATAAAGTGCAAAGTCCTCCTACTAGAGTCCCGGCTCAACCACCAGGAAGTCAATGTGGTCCTTCTCTTTGGTCTTGAAGGCCTCGGCGATGATCCGGGCGGCGTCTTTATGCTCTCGACCTCTCAGGGATATGCCATTGACCTCCAGGATGACTTGACCCACCTTCATCTGGCCACAGTTGTGAGCCGAGCCTCCTTTCTGTCGACAGAAGGAGGGACAAATGTGTTACAGGGACAAATACGAACAAGTACAAGGTGCTCAAATACACTCTTCAAAAAAAGTAAGGGAACACTTAAATCTCACACCAAATCTTTACTGCTGTATATTGTAAAATTAGTTGTCAACAAAATTAAGTAACTGTCAATGGAAACCAAAATCATTAACCCAATGAGGGCTGGATTCGATATCTCAGAAAATCTTTAGCATCTCATAATGTGACTCAGTAGAGTGCCAGTAAGCACTCCCTAACTTGTCTGGTTATGCTCCTGATGAGTCAGCGGATGGTGTCCTGGAGGCTCTCCTCCCAGACCTTGATCAGGGAATCATTGAGCTCTTGGACAGTCTGTGACGATACTTGGTGGCATTGGATGCACCCATACATAATGTCCCATACAGTATAGGTTCTCAATTGGATTTAGGTCAGGCAATGGAATCAGTGCATTCATCATCTAGGACTGCCTACACACTCTGGCCACATGAGACTACTATTTAGAGGTGGAAAAGTGACATGTTGTTGCTTCAAAGGGGACATACAGTATTATGAAAAATCCACTTGTACAGTGTTTTTGAACATATATTTGAGTAACCTGAGTTTCTACAGACCTACAAAATGTGAAATAAACCCATCCAGTCCTTTGTTTGTGGTCTGCATAAGTCTTACAACACAGAGAAAAATGCTCTGTTTCAAATTTGCTCAACTTGTGACATCACAGAGAGATTCTGGTTTAAAAAAACAACAACCCTCCCCTCCCCTGGTATCTCCACCCATGGACTCCAACCCCAGCTTAGAACAAAACTTTAGCGCAGGTCTGCTATTTTCATTCTCGCTAGTGAAGGATGTCATTGCATGTTTCAAGAGAATTTGTAGTCAACTTTGTTGAGAATTTACAGGAAATGTGGATATAATACAGAACAGTGGCCGCATAAAAGTTACTTATTTTGCTAAGAAATTCAAATATAAACTTTACAGGTGGATTCTGTGTTTCAGGCAGATGTTACTATTTGTAATTGGCCAATAAATTCTAATTCAAAAATACATTCACTTTCATACTTTAATCTAGAGAGTCAGCTGAACCAGTGAGCCGATTTCATTTGGTCTGCCCTTAAAGGAAGGAGAGGATCTGATGATCATACAACAGGGATATAAAACAGCTCTAAACAATAAAAAAAATCGATCACTGCCTTATCACCATTTCAGAAAAGTGTTTACTAGGCATGCTGCTCCAAACAAACAGAACAAGCAGGTTCTCTGCATGAATCTTTTAAGATTCACATCTGAGGGAACAACCAGCAACTAAAAAGCATCCTCCCCCTCAAACCACCTTTATGAAAGAGATCTCTGCAAAACTGTTGACAAAATAAACTGTAAGACCCAACAAAGCCAATTATACCTCATTGTGTTCATCAATGTTTCATCCATGTACATTTAATATTTATAACATTTTCCTCAAGCCAAGAAAAGTGGTTTACACTTCACTGGGCATCACAACGGAAACACATCTGTGGGCTTAGAAAACACAGCTTACACTTCTGCCATGGTGATGATAACATGGATTTAAATTTCCCCTCTTTCAGCTTGAGAAAACTTTGGTTAAGATAAAAACTGCATTGACCTGTATCAAAAATTCAGGAAGAGTACAAATAGAGTTCTGTTGTCATATTAGTTTCACTGTCAAACATTTCACAGTCTTGTCTTTGTTAATTACTTTTGGGAAAATCCTTTGTTTTCACTGCAGAGGTGTATTTTGTTGCAATACCTCAATTGGCCACTAGGCAATATGGGAGACAATGCCATGTAACAGTTAGGCTAGGGATGTAATAATGAACTATAATGTAAACTATATTTTATACCTTTTAAATGTATTTAAAGAAATGTGATAGAAGTCAAATTATGAATAAATATGATTCATTTATTTCAAATTCTTACCTTAAAAATTTAAAATATTTATTTTCCTTATTTCCTTCCTATAAGTACCTTTTAGTTTTGAGTTCGTATAGTTACTAATAAAAACATGCATATTTTTGACAGTATCCAAAAAAAAAAACTTTTTGAAATTTATATTTAAAATGAACTGGATTTTAAACAAATCCTCAATCAAATAAATACATGTGTGACACAAAAAGTGAAACTCTCAGAGGTGCAGTCTTTGTTTCTGGCATTGAAGCACAGAACGTTTTTAGAGATGCTGAATTCTCTCAACTTTGTGTCACCTAATCTTTTTTCACAGTTTTTTCAGTTGAGTCATTACAGCTATTGTCCTCTATAGTTCACTCAACTCCTTCATATTCCAGTTGTGTTCTATTTCATTTGTATTATTTATCTTATCTTTTCTGATTCAACTTTTTATTTTGTACTTTCTACTTGCTACTTGTCTTTGTGCAGCTGTTAATGCCTGAACTTCCCATCTGGGGATCAATAAAGTCTTATCTTATCTTATCTTATCTTAGTCATCAGCACAAACGATTAAAACACAGCTGCACATATCTCTGTGGCCAGCAGGATATCAAAACATCTTCCCAGTCTATCGCATTCATCTTTTTTTGATGGTTTGGTGTCAGAATGGCTCAATTTTACATGCTGCTGCGCCATGTTGATTTTCTTATTTGTGTTGTTCATTATTCTCTTGTGACATCTGCACACTGTTTTATCTTGTTTGTGAGTAGGAGTGTGGATGTGAGGTGAGCAGACACACATTCTAAAACTCCGAATCTCCACTTGCTTTCTCCATGCACGCTCGATAGGGCCCTCTGCTGGTTTTAATTACAATATATTTTTTCTCCATTGGTTTAAATTGTTCCTTACTTGTGTCGGGTTTTTAATTGTATTGGGAAGTTTTGTCACTTCCTATAAACAATGAGGACATTTGTTGTCTTACAGTAAAGGATCACATGACAGATATGAGACAAATCAGGGGCTGATATGGCTCAACTATGAAGCAAGACGTCTATAGCCGTTTTCACATATGCACAGATAATATCTAGATATTTACAGGAGGACTTCTCCGGAGATTCTCCCGACCTAGCCGTTCACATATGCTCCTCACAGCGGGGGACTTTCCCTGTCAGAGGGAAGGGGGGGGGGATTTCCCGATGTAAGACGTGAACTAAATAAACAACGTGGAAGTAGCGGCCGAAGCAACAGAGTCCGCTACACGACGCTATAATGAGAATATTTGCCTTTATATCAATGCTATGTGTAATCCAATGGAATGACAACATCAACAAAAGAGAGGAGAACAACATACTGACGAACAGAAAACAGAATGCAGACTTTTAATTACGTGCACGGAGAGCGTAGTGGTCGCGTGCAGACACTTTATGCACAGTCACTATATAAACGTCATTCTCTTTCTGTTAGCTCGAATTGAAAATCTCCGGAGTATATTCGGCCGCGTTCAGACATCAGCTCACTCAGATATTATGCGGATAAAATACTAGAGTTCTGGCTGGAGAAACTCTGTGTAAAGTCAGCGTGAAAAACGCAGCTGTTTGCGTTCACACAAACCTCCGGGTAGCCAAATCTCCAGAGTTTTTCAAAAGATTTCCATGTGTGAAAAAGGTTTAAGTCTTCTTCTCTAAAAGCATATTTGTGTCTAAAAAACTGAGTTTTGAACTGAAACAAGTCCAGCAGCTTAACTGGGTTCTCATACACCTGAGAAGTTTTAACAGTAGGGGAAAATGTAGCAAAAGAAAAAACTAATTAGTGTGAACTTGTGCCGATGACTGAGATTAGCCATTTGTCATTAGAGTCTGTGTGTTTCAATGAGTTTGTTTGTGTGTGTGTGTGTGTGTGTGTGTGTGTGTGTGTGTGTGTGTGTGTGTGTGTGTGTGTGTGTGTGTGTGTGTGTGTGCGTGTAACATGACCTTTTCTCATCTTCTCCTGGGCGGTCTAACAGAGCCACGCGGTTAATCCATCCATCCATCCATCCATTGATTCCTCCATCACTCAGGACAAACAGGACAAATTGCCTGATTCAATTTAATCCTCAGAGCTAAACATGTTTATTAGCTGTGACATTCAATTACAGCGCAGCAGCTGAAAACATCACTGCAGGCCGTGTACAGGCCAAATTTAATGAATTCTTATTCTGCACACTGGCCAACAGACTCTGAGCAGGGTAATGAATCAGACGCACTCTCCACAGCCATCACTAATGTGCCCATGAGCAGGGCATCAACCCCAGCCTGATCACCATAGCAGCTCCTACAGCCAGAGGGACCAGGCTGAGGTCATTATTAGCAGCTTGCTCTTCAGAAATCTGAAATGCATCAAAAGATTTCAAGCATCCCACAAGGAACTTCAGTGTTCTCTTTTCAATAATGCAAAAGCTTGACATTATGACATTTTCAAGAGGAATGAAATAAAAAGAAAGGTTTGTCAGCTGTTTTTGAGAATGAAGGATCTGAGATTGGATGACTTACATGCACCATGTGTCAGAATAATCTGTACGGCACTGCATTAGTCAGTGCAGGAAACGGAGGCAAGACAAATATCATTACCACACAGCCATTTGTTTCTGCTGGCACCATGCACTGACAGTTTTTGGTCAAACATCCAACCACCTGTTGATCTCAGGGAAGTTTGTCAAGATGAAGACAAGGCCTGGCCACACACTATGAATAAGAGAGCAGGCGTATTTTCTGCTCTGTATTTATCCTTCTTATCTTTTATTTAAAAAGACAGACAGAATAAGTTCAGTCTTTTTTTTTACGCAAAACTGGTTTATATAGTGCATCCAATCTGCACTGTACCAAATGTCACAATCTCAATCTCTAAAGGTCTGATCCTTAAATTACAAAAATATCAACAACAAAAAAAACACATCCGAAAACTTAAGTACTGGGTTGCTGAACAAAAAACATCCAAAGGTAGAAAAAAAATAGTCTGCACACCAGAAGCTGCTCCAATTAATTTGAATTTAAAAGAAATATTACCACCTGTAACATTTTGGGCCATCGCCCTTCATCAGATATCGATCCTAAAATTACCCATCAACACCAAACAAGAGATTCCACTGTCTGTGTTCAACCAATCAGAACAGAACGACTTCAGCATTATTTGATAAAACCCCCATGAAATGATGGGAACATAATAAGACAAATGTGCATGTTCCCATGTTACAATGGCCTCCTGGTTGTAGGGGACGTTGTGTTTGTGAGCGGCCTAATGACTGTGATGGTCATCAGCGTACAGACTGACATTCACTGTCACCCACCGTCCTGAGACTCACAGAGACAGGAGAGAGAGGAGTCATTGTTATGGAAATCACTGCACAGTCACACAAAAAAAGCCTCAAAGGATGCCCTGAGCAGAAAACTAAATTGTGTGTGTCTGTCTGTGACGTGTATGTTCATGTCAGACTCCTGAGGCGTCCAAGGCTGTAACTCATTCAGTGATTAGCTGATGTTATCGCCCCCAGCCCTCCGCATGTATAAAACACTTATGAAAATGTACTGCTCTGCTTTCTTGTGTCTCGTTGGACATGACGGATTGTGAAAGACGTCGGAGAGAAATATCAAACACAGAACTTGTGTTTGTCTGACTGATTGCTTCAGAGAGCTGTCAGTGCAAAACAAATGTTAGCAGATAATCAGATGCTGAAAGAAGACGGACGTTCTGGAAAAGACACACAAGTGAATTTTCTCTGAATTATTTTCAATTTAAGATGAGTGACGGAACTTCCAAAGTAAAAACCATAACCACTGGCAGAGAAAAAATGGGTTATTTCCTATAAATCAAGGAATCGTCCCTATAAACTCGATGATTCTGCTGCTTCACCTGAATGGTGACGATGCGTGGAAGAGGTTGACGCGTGTTGGCTCCGCCCTCTATAGCGATGCCAAGCGTGCTGGCGTTCTTCATCACTCGTACCAGGGTTGCCGTGGTCGCTGGGATCGGCGAGGCAGTCTGCTGCAACACAAAGAGAAGAGGAGTCAGGAGGAAGAGCACTGATGACATGTGTCATGTCAAAATGACATGTGTCCACATAGATCACCTTCTATGTCCGTTTTTTACCATCCTTTTTAAATGGTATTTTATTTATACAAGCAGGGCCGTGTTTTCCCGACAAAGACAACTTTCAAAAAATGAATGAGTGCATTCCCACATTGGGATTCATTGTACTGGTTGACAATGTTCGCTCTGTTAATTAGGTCATGCTTTTTGTTTCTCGCATGTTTTCTTATTTCCTGTTTTATTTTGTAGTTTTTCACTCATCCTCATGTTCCTGCCTCGTGTGTCAGCCCTGTCCTGATTACCCGTGTCTCCTTATCCTCTGATTGTCTGCGTATTTATTCCAAGTGTGTGCTCCTTCATGTTGTCAGTTCATAGTGGTAGTGCCTAGTCCTAGCGTTTTTCTTATATCCTTAGTGTGTATGATCTCTTCCTGTTTTTTGACCCAGCCTTTAGCCTCTTCCTCTGGATTTGTTTGTAGACAGTTTTTTCCCTTGCTGTGAACCGAACCTTGGACTTCGTTAAACGTTTTAACCCTTTTGAACGCTCCCTCTGAGTCTGTGTGTGAATCCATAGTGTTCTTATCTTTGCGTCACTGCTCAGCCATTTCACTATGACATGAATGACTGTAGACACAACTATAAACATTGCAGAGGTTTTCCACTTTCAGGTTTGAATGTTTTGCAAAATAAAATCATCCCTGTGTTGTTGTTTGTGCCTGAAATGTGTCCCGAGCGTCGGAGCTCTATGTCTCATTTATTATAATCTGCTTGAATGTTTTTGAGTTTCTACCAATTTCTCCTCTTAATTTCTTATTGTCCCGTGCTCCAATTAGAAGATTAACCCAAATAACTCATGGACACTGATCTGTATTATCTTGTATTTTGTTTGGAGAGTTACTTATTGCTAAGAAATGTCTGTAAAATTTCTGGCACAAAAGGTTTCAGTCTCAGTTTGTTGACCAAAAAGACAATCAGGTTGAGAAGCACAAACCCATATCTCTAAATGAGTTATTGTATTAAAAGATTTTAATAACAAAACTAATTGATTTGAATTCAATGTGTTGTTTGTTGGTAATTAATTATCTTTAACATTATTTTCTCTTCTGATACAAACTAGTTGAGACGGTTAGTACTTCATTTCTCTATTTGAAATGTGTGTGTTTGATTGGACTGCAGTCACACAGAGAAGTGCTTATTGCTATGAGCCTTATGAGGCCGAACCTAATCTGATGTTGTATAATTAATCCCATTGTCATATGTGCAGTGCTTTTGTTTGTCTCTGATCAGCTGTTCGCTGAATTAATTCCATAAATTTAATAAGAAGCTGAAAAACAAGATGAGACGATCTCACAAACTGATTCTCTGGTGCGTCTGGTGTCTGGTGATCGAGACCAAAGCTGTTCAGTCTCTTTTTAACATTCTGATATAAGGGGAACACATTTAGTCCAATCTTCGACGATTCATTCGATAGAGGCTCAGGCAGTCAAGGACAAGGATCATTCCATTTAAACTATGTGGGGGTGTTTAATGTCTAATTGTACAAAGATTGTTCTGTTTTTTCTCAAATAAATCATGACTCATATCCTATCTTGTTATGAATATCAATTTATTAATAATCTGAATGCAGTTCTGAAAACCACTCATATTTTAAATTAATCCACTTAGTATATCCCCCCAGAAGGATTAATAGTAGTAGCATAGCCATGTTTAGATCATTTCATTGGCTGTCAGAAATGTCAGTCAGCAGCATAGTTGATTGTAATTGGCCGATAGAACAGGGGGAGGCACCTTTCTAGATGTAATGTGTTTGGATTAAATCTAATTTCTGATGGGTTATTCTTCAAATGGTAAATTAAAAGACTTTGTTTGTTTGTGGTCTGACAGATGTGTAGATTGTGGCTGCTCTGGTGGTTGAATCTGTACACACTGGGCCTTCAGTGTGCGTGTGTGCCTTCTGTATTGGAAATATGTAATATCGGATCATGATTGAAAAACAGTCTTGACAAGGATCAAGTGGTTGTTCTGTAAATTATGACCCTTCATGATATGTCAGTCTGTGACTTTGTAAGTATTGAAAGTCCAAAGTGGTTGAGTAAGAATGGGTCACCTTGGGGCAATCTGTTTTTGTTAAATTAAGAAACAGATTAAATCTCATGACTTGAAGTGATTTATTTATGGTAATATGTGAGGTCCTCACCTGTCTGTTGGCCCCTGCGGGGGGTGCGTGGGCCCCCCCTTGCTGCTCCTGGTGGCCCTGCTGGTTCTTGCTGGGTCGGGGGCTGCCATCCTTACTGAGGCCCCCTGCCTCGGCTATATCCACCCCGCTGTCCTCACTCAGAGTCTGCCCGCTGTCTGACAGCTGGGACAGAGTGGCTCCTGGATGGATCAACATGATGTTAATGTACAGACACAAGTGGTGAAATAAACATGAAGAAGAGGTGCTGAGTGTGTGCTCTGATAGCGATCCTTGTTTACCTAAGCTGCACTGACAACTGTTCTTTTAGAACCCGCTTTAAATATAAATGTACTCTTTAAAGCTTTATTTTTTAGCTTTGGGTGCCGTTATTTTAGAGGAGAGTGGATAAAGTAAGGAATCATGGAGAGAGAGTGGGGAATGCAGCCAAGGAGCCACATGTCGGATTGAACTGGGGCCCGTCTGCTTGGAGGACCTCAGTCTCCGTACTTTCAACAGATTTCACAACAATTTCAACACATTTAAGAATGATTATGTGTACCTTTATTCTCCCTGCTCTTGTTTCTGTTGATGCTGTTTATGCTTAAAAATAATTTCTATATTAATCCTTAAGAAGTCTGCAAAAGAACTGGTCTACAGTGACTACTGCATTACTTTTTTCTCTGAGTTTCTAGTTCATGCTGATTGAATCTGTAGAATCTAAAATTGAATTTCATCCAAGTAACTACCGCAACTTAGATCGGTCTCATTATAGGTAATATGAATAGAAAATATCCAACTGTTTGACATTTGCTCCAAAACGTACAAATCAAATTGATCTGAAACAATTCTTATTAAAGGAACTAAAAACAACTTTCAACAAGAACCAGCTCACTAAAAGTTATCGTGTTTCTGTACATTTTTATTTATTTTTTAAAATACTGATTGTATTTTGACATCAAGTACATTACTGTTCACAAGCTCTAGACCACCACTAGCTCTGTTGTTTTAGCAAAGTTTTGATGACCCTACATATTTCTTTTCTCAGCGTCTTTCTTATGATTCGAAAAGAAAATAAAGGAAATATATTTGCAAAATTAAAAGGCAGTATTTTTCAGTCTTTAGTATTTAAAAGTCAGTGTTAGTTTGACCTGCCTATGCACTTATACATCTTTAACTCTTGGGGAGACTGTCTTGTGTTTTTAAGTCATCTTCTGATATATTAGGATTCTTTCAGACATTCTGCTTTAGATTTAAGTTGTCTTTTATTTATTTCTCTGTCCAGGTGATCCCATATTGCCTCTATATCATTCAGGTCTTGACTCTGTAGCGGTCAGTTCATGAGCTGTTTTAAATCTATACTATGATTCCACGGCATTAGCAGTGTGTTCGGAATCATTACTTAAAATAAAAAACACCAGGCACATTTCTTTCTGAATGACACGGTGAAGTACAATAACAATCTTAAAACAACAAACATAATGGTGGCTCGGGGCTTCTGCCATATGCTGTGTTTATCTCAAGTCTGTACAAGTTAAAGGTTAAGTACTTACTCTAAGTAATGTTGTAGCTATAATGGTTTTGATTTAAGGATAAACATCAACACCTTTAGGCAGAAAAACAACCACTATTATTCTATTAATGCAGCAAAGAAACAGCAACTCAACCTAAAGACCTCAACAACAAATGTGCAATAAGATGACAATAATGACCGAAGTGTTCATTTGGTGTAGTTTAAATGGTTAATATTTTCGATCTGTTTAAACAGAATTGGTCACACTCATGTCCAGCAGCCACATCTAGAGATAGCAACTTCATTGGGCTGGTCTCTTTTGTGATGTGATTAAATACCATCTCTTTTAAAATAATACAATCTGTTATTTTAAATGATTGATAGAATAGAAAAATACTGAGGCTTCAATAAAACCCTAGATCTTCAGTCATTATTTTGAAAAAAAGAGAGAGAGCCCAGTCAAAGTTGCACAAAAACACTGGCAGCGTTTCAGAACATCCTAAATGTATTTGTGTTACTCAGGCAGGGTGCAGGAGTTTACCTGAAGTTTTTGTTCATTAAAAAAGAATACATGTGTTGCCTAGGACTTGTTCTTGTTGTTGCCATGGTATTTAAACAGATATCATTTGGTTTTTGCTTGAGTTATATCAAAGTTTTAAAAATCTGGTATCAACACAACTCTACACAGAAAAACATTGAAACAAATGACCAGTGAGTTTGTTGCATATAGAGTATGATAAAGGTGATTTTTCCTCGGGTTTTGTTCATGACTTTAATCTGTGATGACACTGATGCTGTGTAAGCACTGGGCAGTGACCTTTTACACACGCTCTGTACAAAGGTCAAGAATGTGGCGGTGACTGCCTGACCAATTCACCGCTGGGGGGCATTAACTTCATCTCTGACCTTTATCAAATCTCTTTAAAAAAAAAACACTTTTTAACATGATATTTCACCTAATTGTGTGATGTGTATGTACTCATTATCCTTTCAGAGCATACAATTATAATCTCATTGCATACCCCTTTGAGGATATAAATGTCATTACCCCCTCATCACTCGCTGTGAATATTTCCTGCAACGTTTTAAAACCAGTTCAGTCCTGAGGTCACACAGAAAACTGACCAGAGAGCTGGAAGGAAAAACTTGACTTTTTGCGTTCACACGCATGCATCTAAACTGGAACATTTAGGGGAATTTCCACGTGTTAAAGCATCAATACTTACTTATTTACTAGCACCTCCAGCTAGTAAAAATGTGGACAACTGCTAACTTAACTAGGATGTTGTTTACTTCCAAACACACAGGTAATGGCTTTAGTCTGTACAGTATCAGTGATAGTAAAAAGTAAAATTTGTCACACCAGCAGCAGGTTAAAGGATGTTTTCTGGAAAGTTTTAATTTGAAATATCTACAGGAAATGTAGAAATAGTTTAAAAAATACATATTTTTGATGAAGGTTGCAAATTTAGCTTAAGGATTCAAAAGGGTGAAAAAAAACATTTGTCTCAGAGAGAACCTTTCAGAATTAATTTTTGTGATGAGCAATTGCAGAAAAATGTATCAGCTGTGAGTCAAGATAAAATCTGAATTTAAAGTATGACTCTGATGTAATATTTATTCTAATAACAGGTAAAGTTGCACTGGGCGCTATATTTGAAAGCACACAAGATATATATCTGCAAATTGAAGCAAACACAAGCACAAACATAGACTTGAGTACCTCTCTGCTGGGGTCTGGAGTCTGCAGACAGTCGATTCATGTCCGTTATGATGATTTTCTGGGTCAGAGCAGGTGAGCAGGGTCGGTCAGGACTACAGGGTGGGGCAACAGATGTGATGAGGGAGGGGCAGGGGGAGGGACAAGGTGAGGGACGGGGGGATGGATGAGGGGACCCCATGGGAGACGCTGCTTTGGAAGAGGACGCAGACTTTGATAAGACTCCAGACTTCTCATAGGAGCTGGATCTGGAGGCCAGCCTGACGGACAACTCTGGTTTAGCAGAGTCCCGATGGTGCAGGAAGCCCGGGCAGGTGTGGTGTCCTGAGCTGGGCCGGCTGAGGGGAGCAGCGTGGTGGTGGAAGTGATGGGAGAAGTGGGAGTGGTTGAGTTGTTCAGAGTCGGAAAGCTGCAGGGAGCTCTGACAGGTGTGGTGTAGATGATTGGGGAGAGAAGTGTGGTGGCAGGCACCGACACAGGTGTGGTGGGAGGGGGCTGGGGAGGGCTGGTTGATGCTGGGGAGGGATTTGAGCGACTTGTGGAGACACTCCTGGAGGAGCCGGGTGGGGCCGCTGAAGAGCAGGTTAGATCCGGGCTGAACCAGCCGGGCTGAAGGCTTCCCTCTAAGCTCCCTCTCCCTGGATGGGCGGCTCTGAGCCTGGAGGGGGGCTGCTCTGAAGGGGGGAGGAGACTCACCTGAAGCCTGCCTGTCATCCTGTCAAGGAAAAAAAACCAGTAAATATTCATAAACCCTGAATGGTTTAGCTCCTTTTTTAAACTAATAATTGAGATTTAAAGGTCACATATTATCCTGCTTTTTAAAACATTAAGTAAGTCTCAGAGCTCCCCAAAACATATCTGTGAAGGTTCTTGTTATAATTCCACTCTGATCTTGTATTTGATCATGTCTATAAACCCCTCTATTTCAGCCCTGCTCAGAACAGGCTGTTTCTGTGTCTGTAGCTTTAAATGTAAATGAGCTGTGTCTGACCACACTCCTCTTGAAGGGGGTGTGACTCTGGCTTTCTCACTACATGCACTATTGTTTACTGTGAGAAGGCAGACTCAGAGGGCAGAACTAACACCTAGCTGTATGAGAGTGTCACCCACCTGGGGGAGGGGTTACTGCCCTTTGTGATGTCATGAAGAGAAAATCTCCAAACAGCCTGTTTGAGCACACATTTCCTGAAAAGTGGAGCAGGCAAAAGTCGAAAAGGATGGACTTTTCTCATAATTTGGGGGGTTTGAAGACAGGCTAGGGACACATATTTAATTTTAGAAAACATGGTGAAGTGTATTTTGCATAATTTGTGACCTTTAATTCATGTCATTATGAGGAAGCAAAGTGTCCTCACTGAATTTAAGTATTTAATGGCAACTGGACAAACTGTTTTTTATAAATGTTTTTCTTTGCAGGAGTCTCTGTACCTTTTCCTGAATGCAAAAAGTGGAAGTGGTGATTTAGCCTAGCTTAGCATTAAGGCTGCAAGTAAAGGAAAACAGCTAGCTAGACTCTCTTAAATAATCAACCTGCCCAGAAATCTGAGGTAGAATTCATGCATATTCACAGAACCACAACATTTTAATCTGAAACAGGATCAGGAGCTTTTCTCAAAGTGTCAGTCTCAGTTTTATGGGCACTAAAAGGCAGGAGCTTGGCCTATAATAAAAGTTAATGTTACTTTGGCACCTTTCCTCTGCGCACAGATGAGCTCTCATGCTGACGGAGCTGTTTTGTCTACATAAAAATGATGAACTAGGAGGGGAGAGGAAACTTTGAGGGTTTATTTTGATGCCACACTTAAAAAATGTAAAATGAGTTTCACTTTTAGAACAAAGCCTTCTCTCTGAATGGAGCAAGCAAGGGCACCTCGGAAAAAAAGAAAAGAAGAAAAAACAAGAAACAAAATTGCATTCTTGTACGTAACTGTTCCAAACATCTCCACTGATGTGGATGAAGTGTCGAGTCACTGACAGTCCCGGACTGATTTAATCCCTGCTTATATTAATAAAAGTGATGTCAAAGTGATATCAACAAATCATCATACAGAGGCGTTGTTTTCCTGATTGCTGGAATTTTGTGAGGGATATACATTTACATTAAAAATACTGTGTTTAATTGAGTAAGAGGGATACAGTGAGAGAGTGACAGAGAAATTGTGCCTGGGTCTCAATGGCTCTAAATAGCACCACTGTAACTGCCTTTGGCAATTAGAGTCGTTCTTTGGGAATTAGATACAACAAGGCTTATTTGCACAGAAAGGGGGGCAGGGGCAATTTGTGCCCAATATTTTAATACTCCCAAATTTGAATCATGCAAATGGCTTTTTTTTGACTGCACACTTAGCTTTTCTGTCATTTGTTAAGGAGCCAAAGAACCAGCAGCATCCTTTTTTTATGGATCAGGCCCTGCATCTTTTCTAATTTCTTTTGTTTGTGGATTTATTTAGAAAACCACATTCTGTACAGGTCGTTAAGATAGAGATGTGATAGGCGGCTTTTTTTGCTTTACACAGAACAAGTCCCTCCTGCCTTCATGTCCTGAATACTGATTAAACCCTTTATATGAGGTAAAGACTTCAACTTGAACTCTTCGTTGAGCTATTCCTGTTGAGCTAATGAGTCATAGGTTAATGTATGATGTGCACCACTTCTTACTCTGCTACCAGATATATGAAGGTTAGATATTTATGTCTGTCTGTCTGTCTGTCTGTCTGTCTGTCTGTCTGTCTCTCTTTCCTATTCATATCTCAAGAACCTCTCATCCAACTGACATTGCACTTGCGTGATGTATTGATAAGAACCTTAAGGGAATTGAAGTTGTAGAAATGGGCAGTTCTTGAGAACGCTGTAAGCAGACAAACTGCATACCACTCACTTTCAGGGGCAGATAAATTGTCCACCTCAGAGAGGGAAAGTTCCCCCTCAGCAACCCTGCAGGCAGCAATACTGGGAGCCAATCAATCTGCACATCCTCTGAACAGCTGGGTCACAAACAGGAACTGCATTAGTGTCATTAGTGAATGACATTCATCAAGTCATGTCTAAGGTCCCTTGAATTGTTTCTGTATGTTTGAGCAATGTGGTCATTGGGATTTAGACGGCCCTCTCTGCTGGAATGTCACTCCTAAATCACAAACCAATTCACCGACTACACATTTATTCCTTGAAGGTAGAAACAAAAGCAAGGGCTTGCATCTGATCTTGACTTTTACAACCCTTTCATCTTTGTGCCATCTAGCCATGTATTGAAATCTGCATATTCTTACAGTAAGAATATGCAGATTTAAAGAGGAAAATAAATGTATGCTCTCTTTGGACACACCTCCTTCGCCTCCCAGCTCCTGCCTCCAAATTTCCCTCCCTTCCTGTTTCACTACCTGGTGTCTGTAAGATGGAGAGCAGCAGAGAAGTGCTGATAATCATCTGAAGACAAGACTTTGCTGTTTGTCAATGCTCCTACATGTTCTTGTTGTGTGATGTGATGAACATCATAGCTTTACTGTAAGTCACTTAAGCTCAAATTTCTTATGTTAAGCTAATTGGTCTGCTCAGAATATTGAAGCACTGTGATTTGATGCAGATCATCTCCATTTCTAAACCAGTCCCTTGAAAAAACGGAGACCTTAAAAACAACACAGTTCATCCTGCATATGCATCCAAACAAAGACTGACACTTACCAGTACAATGTTTTGTAAGACATTACTGTTCTCCTCCTCGCCTTTCTCCGTCCAGCCACCAGCAGAGCCGTCATTCTGAAAGAGACAGTGTGAGGCCTTTTTATTACCACGGGGCTCAATCTGTAATAAAAACTTGAGCATGGCTTACTTCAGCCTACTTAATGCAGATAACAGATGGATGGGATTTTGTAGCACAGGACAACATAATGAGTGCAGGAAAGTTTGGACAGTTAGAACAAAGTGTTTGAGAGACAGCGTTTTATGCAACAGCTGAACCATTGGAGGATCCAGACTCTCTTGTTTCATCTCTGCAGAGGTTTCAAAGCGTGCTTCAGGGAGCCCCAGGAGACCTTAAAGGAGTCCAGATCTTTTTACAGCAAGAAGAGGAACTCCCAACACGGGTAAAGGGAGGGGACCCTATAATCTTGTGATCAAGCAGCTAACAACATTTAATATGTAGAGAAACCTGTGGTATTGTTCTTAAATCTTTTGGTTTGAATTGACCTCTGAAATGCTGTGACTGTCTGCACTGCTGTGTCTGCCAGTCCGTTGGGAGTCTTGAGCAGGGATTTCTTTGAGGACTTTTCTAAAACCGTGGTGTTTCCACTGAGGCAGAGCATTTTCCTTGGCTCACACTCCTCTTGTTACTTTTTGGATGTGCTAGCAAAGCTGTAACCTGTCAGTTTTCCATGAGTCCGGTTTTTGCCTTAACCGCAAAATCACAGCGGGTGGAGAGTGTAGCCTGATTGTAACTCCACACAGAGATGATTGTTTGTAGGTTTGTTTGTTTGTGATCATCCATTTATGAAGATACTCTCACATTTTCGATCCTTGAAACTTTGCTGCTAGTACGGCTGCAACCAAAAAGACTTCCTGCAGATTTTCAAAATACATTTTCCCAAATCATTGTCCCTCGGACTATCAGAACGTTACAATAGAACAGATATATGAAAGATAAATGTCCTAAAATACAGTGAGATTTGGATTGGCCTTAACTGTTAAAAAGAAGAAACTACTCATCTTATCATATCATTATGGTTGGGAAGATGGTTTTAATCACATCACGTCCCATCACAAACTTACTCAATGTCACAAAAAGTTTAATGATCACAATGTTTTGACCAAATGGACATCGTCAGGTGATAGTGTTATGGCGACACCATCCCTGATAGGTTGTATTTTTATGTCTGTTAAGCTAAAGAGGGGACTGGCCTTCCTTATCCAACAGCCAATGGCTAAAGAGAACAGGAGGCTGCCATCTTTATAAGCTGAGGCAGGCAGGTGTGTGGAAGAACAGAAGGGCTGTGAGCTGCCTTGTGAGGAATTGTTTACAGAAGACGTGTGTAGTGATGTGTTGGTCACAAACGACTAGCAGGCAAGAAAGATTCTCTACTGCTGCACACTACAGAGAAATATTCTTCTCAGTTGCCACATACATCTTTTAACCAGTTTTATTTTCAAACAAAGGACAGTTGTTGTCTTGAAGTTTTACCCTCTAATAAATGAGTATGCAAACAATGGCCTGGCTCGATATGCCCATCTACAAACACTCCCACCCCCCCTCCTTTTGGCACACTCCTACATTTTAAACTATGTTAATTACAGCTATTGGCTGCTCTAAATGACTGTCTTGCAGCCAACCTGCATGGAAAAAATCCATCTAATGAGACAACGACGTGTCACAACATGGTTTTCCTACAATAAATCTCACTGTTTCTCGCTGAGTAACTAACTGCCTGTAAATTAAACACAATTAGCTTTTTTTATTGAGGGGTTGTAATTTCACCACGGTAATGAGTGTGTCAGCGCGGGCAATTACACAGACACATGGTGAGCTGCTGCAAACAGCGAGATTTTAATGACAACGCCCAAACAGCCGACCACGCTGAGACAGATGCACCAAAAAGAGCTGAAGTCAGGCAGACGGACAGAGTCTGACAAACCTATCCCTCCTGAAGAGAATACTGAGTGATCCTTAGGGTTTATATTTATTTACAGACTTTCTATCCTTTACAATCACAGATCTTTTTATTATTTGGCTTAGACTGATCATTTTATTGTTTTTTTTTCAGTCTGTTTAATTATGGATCTCTGAAAGTATTCATTTCAGTTACTGCTTCATATTATTGGCTGACATTTATTTGTTGATGTTGTTTGTACAAGCTGCTGCAAACCAATCGCCCCTAGAGGGATTTGTAACTGCTTGAATTGACTTGTTGAAAGAATCACGCAGAGGGACATAATCTTTGCTTTGACTTCAGTCACAGAGTTTTGTAGGGTAAAGTTGCTCTGGAGGCTGGAGGAAGTGGATCATAGGCAGCCTGTGACCTGGCAGAATGAGGCCTCAGTGGATGGATGTGGGCCTCAGTGAAACATCGATACTACAGAAACTCTGACCTGCCACAAAGACGAGCCGCTCTGCGTCAAAGACGGATGCAAGTGTCTGAGAATGAGGGAAGGACTCACACACACACACACTCGAAGTGATGTATTTGGATCCTGGTTAATAAGAGAGTCCGAACTGAAGAGATCTGACGAGAGTCTCTCTGTCCCGTTAAGTGGACTTTATTAACAGATTATGTAAATTGTGTTGAACAGCAGCTTTGTCAATGGCCCTGTGCTAAGCTGTTTGGACTGAAGTAGTCAACATTTTAGATGCCGTAATATGTTTCAAACCAGATGTTTTAAAGTGAAACAATATCGATAATTATAATGATAAATAGTTTTAAGTAGCTTAAAGCTCTAAAAAAACACACAACTCATAATTTTAACCAAAAGCTGCCGCAAGCAAAGAGAGAGTGTGCAGGAGTTTGCCTGCAACTTTTAATAGTTAAAAACAATGAATTATTAAATGTTCTGTGAGTGGACCAAGCGGCAACCTCCGGTCTTGAAAAATGAAGAAAATGATCAAAATCCTGCAGTTCCTCTAGTGTCCACTTGAGGCTGGCTCCAGTAACACCGGAAGTATTTGATGACTCTCTCATAAACTTCTAAACGATTGGATGTCTTTTAGTAGCCATTTGAGTCTACCCCTGCTGGCCATTATAATAAGTGCAGGTTTAGGCACATGTACAGTGGCTTCACTTATTTAAACCCACAAACAATGTCCATTTTTTTGTATACAGTCTATGCCTCAAAGTAACAAGTCAGCTCCCAAAGGGTCTCAGATAAAATGTGTGGAACAAAAATTCTTCAGGTGATTTGGACTAAATGTGAAATTTGATTTCAAACAGTACGAGGCCTTGACTGATGATTTAAAAAAACAAAAACAAAGAAGAACAATCAACAGGTGAAGTCTATTTTTGTGAAATGTTAAGCAGCACTTTGTGCAGCCAGCTTGAAATGTTAGCTTGTAGCTAATCATTTTAAATCAGTATATCTTGTCAAATAATTTGTTACGCATTCCTGTAAAAAGATGCAGCTACATGGAGGTCATTAGAGCAAAATAACCTTGAGAAGTTTAAAACCCTAGCTTGAGTTTTGTCCCTGTCAGCCCTGTTATCTTAGCTCTATTATGACTTCATTATTTGATACACATCTTTGAATGAGGTCACATTAAAGTGGAACCAGTTCAGAATGATTACCCCACACACCCCACTACACTGAGTGAGACATTTCTTAGTAAGAGTAGATAAGGGATCTACCGTAGTAGGGACGGTGTGTCCTGCATCGTGGGCCACAGGGGCTGTGTGGGTGCAGTGAGCCTGTGGGTGCATGACTCCGATCCCTCCGTGCCAGGCCTGGTGAGTCTCCCTCTCACGGTGCAGCACCAGCCGGTCGTACAGCTCCAGATCCTGGGGGGCCACCATACTCCTCACCTCGGACAACATGGACAGCTGCAGAGAGGGAGGACAGAAAACATGACTCAGGCTTTCAAAATATGTAAAGTCGTTAACGTTGAAACAAAATAAATCTGCACACTTGAATAACGCTGGAACATGATTAGACTCTTAACACAAGTTAAAAAACCTTATGTCATCCTGCCATTATTACTTTTTCTGCCTGGCTTTTTGCCTTTATTGAGGGGGGTGACAGGCAGCAAAGGGCCAAGGTCGGATTCGAACCCACTGCCGCTGCAATGAGGACTACAGCCTCTGTACAAAGATGCACACAACATAACTGCTAACTAGCCGGTGCCCCTTCAGGTGTTTTTAATGTTTAATACCTTCTTTATTGTTGATGTATATGGAAATGTTTCTTTGCACTTCTTATTTTAATGAGAAAATAATTAAATAACCCGTCACACACTGAAAACACTTTACAGTAACTTTATTGTGAGCAATCAACACGTTTCACCTGTAGCTCCCTCAAGTTCACCCATTATTGTATATTTTATTTATATTTGATGCTCTGTTGTTTAACTCTTATTTTTGTAATGCGATTTAAACAATCTGGCATTAGATATTGCTTTGGGATTTTGGTTCCATCCAGCAATTTTTAGATAAATTTTAAAGATAGATTCATACATGTTATGTGGCTGCATATTTTTCATTTGCAAGAGTGAAGTGTGAACCAAATTACTGATCTACACAGATATACAGTTTTTCTATTTTATGGTCAAAAATATTAGAATTATTTCATCCTTAGATTTACTCAACACAGCTTAGTTCTCCATACAATTTCCCACTTAAGTTTTGTGCATCCTGACAAATATCTAAATAAAAGTAAATTGAATTGAGCTTGTGTAGCACTTTTCAACTCTTCTGCCTGACTACTGAAAACTATTTTAGACTAATTTCACATTCACACACTGATGGAAGACACTGCTATGTAATGTGTCCATCAGTATTAATTAATCCCATTCATACACATTTTCACACTGCAATGACATTTAAACATGTGACTGCTGGAGCAGGGGTTCAAACCCTCAACCTTCTGGTTGAGAGACTTAACCACTAATCCAATGTCACCCCAAAAACCGCATTAAATGATGTTACACCTGAAGATACTTGATTTTATGAAAGTTCAATTCCACACATTGTACCACAACTGCAATAAAGGTCACACAGAGCTGAAATAATACATTTCACTCCAGTTAATCAGGTCATTCCATCCTTAAAAATACACCAAAAAACTGATGAAATTATGAATCTGAATTTGAGCCTTACAGGGTTAAAGACAACGCTGTATATAGAGATCAGGTGGATGAAGCGTTCAAAGATGTCTGATATCGATCAAGGCTTTCAGCAGCCAGGTCGCCCCTAATATGGAAAGCAGAACTTATTGAAAATCAAAATGTACTGACCCCCCCTGCAGCTACCTTTGCGTGTGTGTTGAAGAGCTCAAACAGAGCCATGGTCAGCGGCTCCACTCCGATGTGTCCCTCCTGGTACTCCTGCAGGTAGTACACCATGGTCTGCCTCTCAGGCTCTGTCAGCAGCATGTAAGCCTGCTGCTCCAGGGACACCTGAGTGCCTGGGGGGCCCACACCTCTGTACCCAGCTGGCTGTAGGGTAGAGAGGTGGATGAGGAGAAAAACATACAGCTTAAGAAGAGTTATCTTCCTTTAGAAGAAGAAGAGCATACAGATTGGAAGACTCTGATGTGTGCAGACCTTCAACCCCCAACCCCCCGCCACATCATGTACACACATAACAGCAGTTGAGCTTATCTCACTCTGGAAAAAGCCAGCACTTCAAAGCTGTGGGGCGATTCTCCGTCAGAACTTGTTTGCCTTTAAGGCTCCATCATTGTTATCTTCCCGAGCAGCTCTCCTTCTGGAAACAGCTCCTCACTGTTTGGAGGCTGACTGAGTTGCAGCGAGGTCCTGTGGCTTTATTCCCACTGCTAAAACCTTTGTATTAAATAAGGAGAGTAAATGGGACCCTACAAGCTGCTGGGAAGTAGTTTCCCCTCCCACATAGATTTATCCATGTAGGAGCAAAACAAATAAATTGTTCATAACATGGTGGGAATGGAAATTGAGGAGCCTCTGCATGAACGTGCTTCAGATGATAAAGCACAAGTCAAACACGACACAATAAATGAGACTGCAAAAACCTTTAATGGAAAGATTTTCTCTGTTTTATAATACAGAACTGAAGGCTGGGAAGCTGGGAGAGGCCTGAAAGAGAAAAATGAAGACAATACAGGGATGAGGTGGAGTTCATGCTGTAATTTGTTGAATGGGTAAATCAATAGTTAAATATTGAATCTGACCTTGAGCCTCCTCCTGTCATGTTAAAGGATTGACATAATAAAAGAGGGACCTTTAAAGCTCAGGGTCAGGGGGAATAAACACTTAAATCTCTCCAACAGAAATCCACTCTGAGCGCTGATTGTTTTGGCTGTGAGAGGCCTGTAACTGCAAAAAAAACAACATTCTGAGCTTGTCAGTGACAAAACAAATCATTTAGTGGACTTTGACTGGGCAAAATCTGGTGTATAAGACACATTTCTAATACCAATTCTTTCAAATTAAAACTGTGCTGCCTCATATACCAGTGCGACCAGTACACCAGCATAAAATGCTGGGACAATACTTCTCGATGAAGTGCAGCAGCCACCGTCATTGACTGCACTTTAACGGATGCCATTGAAAATTCCAGCAGTTCCTTGTTGTAAGCAGCCACTTCACTGTGCAAAGTGTGATGGGTTATTAGACAACATGGATCACTTTTTTAACCACTTTCCTGCCCCATCAGGTGGAAATAACACATTTAAAGAAAATGGTGTCGTACTATAAGGTAAATAAACCTTGAGGTGTGCTACTTTGATTAAAACTACTGCTACATTAAAGAGCAGCTCTAGCTAAATTGTTTGTGGGCTGTGGGTCTGTACCTCACAACGTTCAATGTTAGCGTAGGCTGAGAGGTCAACTACTGTTCCAGTAGCTAGCATGTTCGCAAACTCAACATGGTGAAAACAGGTGGTGCAAGAAAGAGCTACACAGAAATTGCACTTTATGGACTTAACTGAATGCAATGAGAGACCCCCAAAAACAGACTGGACGCTTTGTACCAGGGCACCATTACAAATCTAACTGTGCTACAAAAGTTCACGTTGCAGTCAATAGAGCCTGTTTGTTTGCTGCTAGCTGAGGCAAGGAACTGAAGCCATTACAACGTTTAATACCTAGTAATACTTTAGAACCTGGAATATTTCAAAATAGGAGTCAAGCTCAAATATATTGGAAATGCCCTTCAAGAATCACAGAGGTGTATGCTGTGCAGTACATGGTTAAGATAAATCTCCTATCAAGCTAGTTCTGTATGCGCCCCTTGAGAGCCTTTAATTGGCTCCTGAGGGCTATGTGGGAATGTGCAGTTGACAGGTTTCATACATATACAATCAACAACAGGTAGGTTGGTCAATAAGTGCCAATAAAACAGCTTGATTTACCCTGAGGACATTTTCACTATCATTCCGGTCATGGTTGTTCAGCTTGTTTTGTGTTTTCATGACGGCATTTTATTTTTTATAGTGCAGTGTAAACAAAGGGTACACACATTTTTATGGCGGTAGTGTTGTTTTTTGTTTGAGAGAATCAGAAAGAAAGAGAGAGACATTTCAGTTGCCCTATAAATGTTGTCCTGTCAGCAATTATGTATTAACCAATGACATCGCTGAAGCCGGAGTCTTGATTCAAACCTAGCATACTTCCTGCACTAACAAGCTGCTGCATGTTAACCCCTGTTTGAGTCACTATTAAAGAGGCACTGGATACCACACATCCTGTCCCCCATTCAGCTTTCAGAGCAGACTCCTTACAGTCTTCTTTATTCATGGTTACCCGGCGGCTGCTCAAACGCTTGTTGGACATGCATTTATTCTACATGGCCACCCATCCGATCTTAAATTACAGAACTCATTAGGCCTGAGCCGCCTGGGGCACAGAAGCATTTCTGAGGAGTAGCTGCCTCATCATAGCAGAGAGCCTTTGATGCACACTTTTGTCTTTGTGCACATATTAGCATGTAGCTCAGCTGTTTACAGTGTCAGTGGGGATCATTTAACAAAAGGGACAACAGGAGGGAGGAGGGGACATGAGTAACGGGATATAATAGAGAGTGTAAATATTACCATAACAGTTACATCAGAGTGTTTCAAATTCAGAGCCATGCATCAGTGTTGCATGATCGTGTCTATCCACTTTTATCTCTGATATATTACTCTATTGGAGCTCTGCACTTATCTCACAAGCATCTCATCTATATTGTTTTCTCAGTGGAATACGTAATGCACAGATGAACAGCCAATGAGATGAACGAAGCCAAACATGCAGTTCCGCTAGGGTCCACTTGAGGCTGTCTCCAAAAATGAGTTAATCCCAATAGAGCTCCATGTTAACATATCCAACTTTACAACATAAATAACAACATTTACAGCCTGGTACACACAAAAAAAAGTTTTGGTGTATCTAAACAGCGCCGGCACACGCATTGGCGAACTGTGGCCCTGTGGTAAGAGCTGCAAACGTGGATCAGCAATTCATGAGGAAAATAGTAGAGTTACCAGTTCTTCATGCATATTACTGTAGGCAAAAAAATTGCTGAGAAATATGTCAATCAATCTGTACTTGCAACTGTTCCTATCCTGCCTCCCGTCCCCAGCTCTCAATGGCAGCCTGCTCTGCTGACACCAATTTAGTTTGTCTCAGAGAGATAACAAATGTGATGTGAAGGTACATTAATAATGCATACATGTTATTTTTTCTATGCATTCATTGTATATGAAGCTGCAAAATGCCTGCATGTTGACTCCCGCATACTAAAACAATGCTGAAAAAATAAGCACACTTGCGTTGCAGGAGACTATTTGTGTTGTGTTTTTGTCACTGATGTGTTTTTTGTGTGTTATGTTGTGACAGAGTGGCAGCATAATTGCTTTTTTGCCTATAGTGACACATGTTTGACCCGGTTCTGTCTCTTTAGCTCATCTACTCATATCAACTGTTTCTAGGATGGATTTTTATTAAGTACATCTATTCATTTATATTTTAAGCTTAAATCTCTGTAAAATTAGGGGCGTGGCCTCTTTGAGTGACAGGTGGGAGCTGTCAAACGTCTGTTTGATGTCACCTCAGCTTATTCAGTCTCTGAACTTAACCAGTTTGTGTTGTTGGCGCCTTTACATTTCTGTACAACAGTACTTTGAATAAAAAGTCAGATTAAATGACTAAATGATTAAATGTTGAAAGGCTGTCTGCTTTAGTTTTTGTTTTTTTTCATCACAAGCCATCAAAAAGGAATTTATCTCCATCAGAGTTTTAATGATGCTGAGCCAAATATATATCAAGTGAGTGGAGAAATGTGGATGGGAACAGTTTGGTTTCAATAAACCGGTTTGTTTTCTCTAAACTGAATATAAAATAATTTTAAAAGAACTTGGTTTGCCATCCCTAAAGCCCACATGCAAATATTATCTCACTGGAAAATTTGGAGTGCTCAAACAGATTTATGTCTGGCTCCATAACAAACAATACAAAATCATTGTAGTGGATAAACCCAACAACAAACAACCAGAGCAGAATGAGCAAAAATGTAAATATCTGCACATGACCGGACTGACAAAAGTTTATTTACAAAAAAAACGTAGCATCAGCCTCACACACAGGGACATGACATTAAACCATACATTGATCTTTAGAGCAGAAGTTCTGCAATTCCAGTGATCAGTGCGCTAAAAGCAAGCTTCATGTCTGTCATTTATTATTTAAATAACACATGGTTCCTTTAAATGACAAGCATGTCATGGGAGAGAGAGGGTACAGAATGACATCTTTTTACAACACAACTTTTTAACACCAAACATGACCTGCTGGTGCTGAGATACGATGTTTTTGGTGAGCAGAGTGAGACGCTTCTTTGAATGTTCATATGTTTGCAGAGTGCAGAGATGCATGACTGTTAGTCTTACCTTTCCTAAAACAGGTGTAGCTCTGGCTGACGAGGGTCTGCAAAAAAGAAAAGGATGTCTGTCATTCTAAAGTGAGAACTGAGAGCAACACTGAAGAGTAAAGCAACACTATGAATACATGTTCGCTTCACCGGTGCATGTAGAAAATTAAAAACACAAACACATTAAAACCCGGCCCCCCCTGAAGCAGGATGGAGGAAACACAAGTTTAATGAGGTGGAGATGACAGACACCCTGAATGATTTCCAAACGGGCAGCAGGTGGAGAAATGTATACCTCTCCAAATTCTCAATCAGGGCCAGCTCCATTAAAGCTGGGAGACAGATGGAGGAGAAACAAATGGACAAACGCAATGCTTCATGTCTGGGACCTCCCATATAGACCCACCCTCAGTAATGGAGTTTCCATCAGATGAGATTTTTGTTCACAGTACGACCATATGGCAACATCTATGATCTAACTGATTCAGTTTTAACTAAGCTGCTTTAGTTGTTGTTGTTGTTTTTTTGCTATGGATTTAACTGACAAACCACAATAATCATGCTGATGACATTGGGTCCTCTAACATTTAAGAGTCAAAACAACATGCGTTTTGTCAGTCAAATTTCTACACCTCTGTTTTTCTAAGCTGTCATTGTCCACAGAGCTGCAGGAGAAACAACACTGCAAATCTCAACTTTAAGAGAGTAAACTTGGAAAATATGGGTCTCAGAACTACCTTGAAGTCCTCACAAGAGAGCCACACTTCTCATAGAAGTCTCCTCCTCTCAAAAACAAACATGAACTGTGAATAAACATGGATGAAGCCTGAGTGACGTCCTTCCCTTTATAGTCAGACTCTTACTAATACTTCTGTCTCCCTCGTTCTCAGAGGAATCGGTTAGTCAAACAGAGCACCTGGGCCTGTTGCTCTCAGGGCATGAAAGCTTACTTTTAAGTACTTGTAATAAATAATAATGATTATTATTTGCAGTCAACTATTGTGTCCTTCCCACATTTGTCATGACATGACCCTTATGTTACAGAAGGGGGTGTCACCATGCTGGCAGTGCTGTCTCAACCTAACTTTAAGTCTAACTTACATCAGGGTAAGAGCTGGAGCTGAGCAGTTTTAAGCATCCTGACAAACAGATACACCAGGCCCGCCCATCAGACAGGTCAGCCACATGCCTTATTATCAATAACCCTTATCCTTTCATGGAATCTAAACCTGTGAGTTATACAATCATTCACCTCCTTACAGTGTGTGCTTATAAAGACATGAGCTTATCAGAACAACTTTGCTTTTAGAACCAGGCAAACATGTTAATTTCTGCTGTAAAAATAGTTGTTGTTTTTTTTATGGTTGTGTATGTGACTTTCTGCAGCTAAACTCAAGTGGACAATCGATGATCTGCAGGTTTTTGCTCTTCCTTATTGGCAACATTTTTTAACACCTAAGATTGCAGCTTGAAAACATACTAGCTTGTGTCTGAATCACACACACATGAGGCGACGCCTGCGAGCAGACAACTTGAGCTGCACTGAATGAACACTTGAAATGCCTCATTTTCCCCAATCACCTGCCAACACCCCATTCTAATTGGTCTATTTAAGCTGCAAGATTTGCAGCCTCTCCAACTGCTCTTTCATTGCCAGCTCCTGCCTGCACCAGTACTGCACTGTTGCTCAGCCCCACCACCACAACAGCACCCCCCCTGAAGGCTCTAACTGGTGTTTTACACGCATAGTTTGAACGTATTAAAGGTGTTACACCAGCTGAGATGGTTCCAACATAGGCAGAAGTTACAACTTAAATCTTACAACACACTCCTAGTAGGTGTAAAGTCCTCCATAAAATATTGTTGTCATGGTGATTGTTTTAAAGGTAGGATTCCTTGGAGGTTTTTGGGGGAGGAGAGGGTTTGACTGGCGAGATGGATTACATCGCTTTAAAATGTATGATGACTATGATTTGTAGCTACACCTGCTTTTGTTTTCCATGAGCTCAGATACAGAGGATCAATTACCTGTTGGCAGCAGATTTAACCTTAGTCCTTCACTATTGTGTCTGGTTTTAAGATATTTTACAACTGGATCATATCTAGCTAACAAAAAAAGAAAGAATTGACCAGCTCAAAGTAATTGTCAGATACAGCCTTAAACCATAAATGTCACAGATTTCTTTTGACAGGCCCTCTCATTATTTGCTAGGAGAATTTAAAACTGGTACTTTTACCAAATTAACCAGAACACTGAAGTTTAAAAAAAAAAAATCAATTCAGAGATGTGTTGTCTCTGCCTGTGTGGGTTACTTTCAACATGTGTGAAGTACAGTTTGGTACTGGATTTTACTTCCTTATCTGTAAATTTGCATTTCTAATCATGTCGCAACATCCTGGAGTGACTGATGTGATGACACACAGAGTTCTACTAAGGTCCACTCACCTTGAACTGCAGGCACTGACGCTGGTCTGGACCCCAGCGTTAACACTGGGGTTGGTGACAGAGCCCTGGTTGACTGTGGCGTTGGTCTCTGCGATGACCTGACTGCAGATCCACTTTGTCTCATCAACTACTGTGCGAGCGTGCGGCAGACGCCCCACATCCCTCACTTTCATCAGCAGGTTACGTCCTGTCTTCAGGATGTGGACCGCCTCATCGTGGGAGATGGTGACAAAGCTCTGACCGTTCACTTCCAGGATCTGATCGCCCACCTGTAACACACAAGCATTATTATTAGTGTAGGATTCCCTGCCTATGCAGGTTGTCTGAGAAGAGCATTGAATCTGCCTCGACTCAGAGACTCATGCATGTTGAGACTGACGTAACTGACATTCTGGCCACTCTTCCTTTCTATCATGACTCGGATGAGTCCTCTGACGACGAGAATCATGACTTACATGGATAAGTATGAGGAAGTATGATGTGTCATAAATCTTCTGTGCTTGCCATTTTTTAAGCAGCCGTCTATGGCTACAAAAACAGAGACTTGCTTTTCAATATGAAATTTATGATGTTGTGATTTGAACCTTAGGGATTGTCATGACTGATGTTTGCTTTTCCACAGGTCGTTTATTCTTTTAGGTGATCAAAATATAATCAAAAGGAGGGAAATGTAATGGAAATAAATTTGTTTACCGTCGAGGACACATTTTACTTACAGCTCACTTGAGAAATGCTACAATAAGTTAATACATAATATTCTTGTTTTATCTTTACCCAAGGATGAAGGTTTCTCACAAATAGCTAAATATCAAAGATACTCAGACTTGAAGTTTCCTTGACATTACTGTTGTGCGACGTGTTGAAATGTATGACAAAATGTATGACAAAATGTATTTGATATTTGACTGCGCCTGTATCTGCAATCCTTATATAGGCATGAAAGTTTTTCTGTGAAGCATGTGTATATAAACCCAAGCATATTGTGATTACTTGGAGCTTTTCCTTCAGAGTGTATTGACACTCTGAAGCTTTGTTCCTTCTACTTGCAAGAAGAATTAAACTAAACAAAGACATTGATTGACTCATGATCCTTTCTTTTGCAATGTTAACAGAAATTTCCAGCACAATCCCTACATGCTCATTTTCCTCTCTGTAGTCACAGGCGAAGTGACTTAGTTTAAGAGAGTACTGAGGACAACTTGAGGCACAATAAATCAACCATCCTCCATCCATCACAACACATGTAGCCTGTGTTTGGGTCTTGCAAGCTTCAGAAAGGAATGCAAGTATGGCAAGCTGTTTTAGCTTTGACTCCATATCCTTTACAGATGTCAGTTTTCTACTCTAGTTCAGTCTTTGTTGGACATTTGGCTATATACTCATTTTGGCAATGTTGTTTCCCAGTAAATCAAAAACTCTTGCTTGTCATGGATACTTTAGCAATTAGTGTCAAAGAATGATGAAATATTGACACCAAGCACCATAGAGTCAACTAGTCAGCTTTTTAACAAGAGAAGCTCTCTGGTTATTTTCTTCTAACTAGACTAGTTAACCAGTAAGGTCAAAAATGATCTGTACCAGTATCTACTGGAACATATTGTCTCTTACACCAGGCATACACTGTTTGTGTAACAACTGCTCCAAACGAGTCTGATGAATTTCTGATATTTTTGTCACACAACTGCACACACTCACACAGTGAGAGCAGAGCCATGAAACAATCGCCCACTTGAGACTGCTTTTTCCTGACAGGTAGAGAGCGTCTGAAAGAGCCCAGCAACACTGGTTAGATTATGCCCCTTGCACAAGGCGATGGTCGTCCAAGCGGGCGACCTGGGTTCATGTCCGACCTGTTGCACCTGTCATTCCTCACTCTCTCTCACGATTTCCTACTTTATCCGCACTGTCCTGTCCAGAAAAAGGCAAAAGCCCAAATGTAAATGTTGTTTCAGCTTGTGCAACTTTAGAATCGGTGCCACATATGTTATAAAGCTCAGCTTTTGCTTGAACCACAAATCAGTACTCTTAAAATCAGACCCCACTCTCAGGAGGTTATACACTGACTGCTTCTTTGGTTGCAGTTTTATCTTCAGAAAACAAATAGGTCCCTAAAACAAATCTGTGAAGCTAAAGGTAGGAAAGAACTGCAGCATGGTTTCTTTTGTTGTCAAGTCAAAACAGTTTATCGAGATTCACCACTACCACAGCAGCCTATCAGAGAAGATCACATATACTCACTGAATATCTTTGTTTTCTCCCTGAGGTTTTGAATGCACCACCATGCGTGCCTTGATTCCTAACTAAGACGATGTGTCTCCTCGTTCTCACAGCCTCAGGAAACAGATGTATAACCAAACAAAGTGTGAGTGTGTGAAACCCAAGGTCATTCTAACTTTCCCAATGCGTTGAGTTGCCAGCAGGGTGCCACACACATTCAAACTCACACACACACACACACACACACACACACACACACACACACACACACACACACACACACACACACACGCACACGCACACGCACACGCACACGCACACGCACACGCACACGCACACGCACACGCACAAACACACTCACACTCACATGCACAAACACGCACACAAACACACACTCTCATACGTACTCAAACACACATAAACTGATGCTCCGCTGAAGCTAATTATCCTCCTTTGGACAGCAACACTATAGGTGACATTCTGGCTTTTCTCTGTTCCAGAGATGAGAAAATGAGATGACAGTCTGATAAAGAAGAAAACAAATTAGTGGTCGCTCACTTGACAAAACGTTCTCGGCTTTTTCATAATTAAGGTCCCTCCGTTATTTGTCATCTGTAGTGCTTTTGTTTTATTGTTAGGCCCACTGCCAATCTTCATAGGGATGAAGACAATTTTTCAAAATTGTAAGGTCATCCTGAGGAGTTATCAGAATGTTTGCCTTGGCCATGCTAGGACCTAACTTCATAAAAACTAACATTAGTCTACAGGCCTATTAAAAATGCTGTGGACTGCCACAAACCAAACCTCACGTTTTGCCATTTCACTGATTCAGAGGTTAAATATTTCAAAAGAGGGTGGATGCACATTTCCTATATTCTGGTTGACGATCGCCAAGGTGACTCATGTCTATCACAGGTAGAAAGGTAATTAAAAACACTAAATTGCACATTTATTTTGACTCAAAAAGGGATAATAATTTATGAAGTGAGCATCATGCTGTATTGAACACGACTTGACACAAAACTCATTTAACATCAAGTAGCATGTGTTTCTGATCGGCTTTTATGAAACCGGACTTCCTTTTGCAGCAGGACTAGGGATGGGTATCGTGAAACTGAATTTTAGGAACTGGTTTCTCATTGGTCATTACCAAAACTATGGTTCAGCTCATACAAAATGGTGATTCTATTTGTATTCAATGTTAACAATTAATGTTATTTTCATCCCATAGCGGTGATTCATATACCTTCATTATCTTTTAGAAAGCATCAAATGATGAGCAGAGAAAGAAAGACCTGCACTCATGAAACCTAGCAGGAGAAAAACATCGAGTGGTTCATCATGGACGGAATTGATGACATGATTTACAATTTTGTTTGATCATGAAGCCTGATGTTCGTCTACAGTAGAATATTAGTGAAATGCACTGCAGACTTGAGACAAAAAATCTACAAACTAAACACAGATCCATCTGTCTCTTTACTGTGCTCTATTGTCATAAACTGGTGGGTCATGTGGAGTCATTCACAACATGAGGAGACATAGTTCATGCATCATAATTGCTCATTCTGTCAAAATGTTCACTTGAGAAGATAGTGAACATCTATGCAAGCTGGATAAAGAGGTGCCTTTTGTTGAACTTGGTAAGCCATTTCATTGTATTTAATTCTTGTTCAGTTATGGTCAACTAAACAAATACTCAAGTTGGAAAGTTTGGAAACCTCCGGCTGAAATTGTTGAAAGTGCGAACATAGTTATCTGAGTAATTTGGGCTGGGCGGCAGGGGCAGATTCATCTTTTCACATAATGTCTTTATTTTTTGCACCAAATAATGGAAATATATAATTAGTATTAGTATTAGAAATAGTATTGATAAGACTATCAGTGACTATCGGTAATCTACAAGCAGTATTTGTATCAACCATCAGTAACGATGAAAGTAAAAATAGGAAATAGGAAAAATTGCAGATGAAAGGCATATTCCACAATGATGACATTATCATCATTATTATTAATATCATTATTTTCAACAATATTATACAACTGTTGTCACTGACTGAGCTACAGAATATTTCAGAAAATTATATTTTTCTGCAAATGTAGTGTGGCATCCTTTTTTTATAAACGAGGAAGGTCATTATATGAATAGAGGTTTCAGCTAAATGTCTTTTTTTTTTGCTTATGTCCGTGTAACTAACATTCACCTGATACATAACCCTGTTTTTAGAACCAGTGGAGAAGATTACTTAAGGACAAGCAATCCTAACTCTGTGATGTGCAGCTTGATTTGGCTAAAGACAGTTAGTGGTCAACAGAATGTATGCTACTATAAATGGTACAATTAGGCCTATTTGTAAAGACTGACGTGGAGAAGGATGCAGATGGATGCAGGAAAACACAAGGGAGTGCTGAAAGCAGCAGAAAAACAGCTTCCACTATATCACAGCAGCAAGAGTAGAGGCAGAAATTAGTTATTGACTTCTCTTCTTCTCACCTCCCTGCACTCCCATGATTATGTAAAGCAGATGCAGCATGAGCCCGCTGAGGATAAGAGAAACCCTGATTTACATATCCTGCAAATAAAAACTGCCTATAGGGGCTCAAAACATTGTCCCTTTACCCTCTGTGGCTAAAATAACCTTCTGTACAAACACAATTATTAGCAACTATTACAATTGAAATAAAACAAGATATATGCTGTGGCTGCTGCTCAGCTGTAGAGGTCAGTTGTCTTTCAACTGGAAGGTTGGGGGTTTGATTCCCAGTTCCTGCAGCCACTTGTCCAATGTGTCCTTGTTGTCTAACCCCAAGTTGCTACCACTGCTTTGTCTGCGATGTATAAATGTGTGTGGGTGGGATTAGTTACTTCTGATGGTCATTTTACATAGCTACATCTGCCAACAGTGTGTAAATTGTTGTGAATGTGTAGGTGTGACCTGCGGAGTAAAAGTGCTTTGAGTAGTCAGAAAACTAGAACTCAGGATACAAGTTCATGCCAAGAAGCATCTCTTTTAACCTTGCCACTTTCACTTGACATCTGTGACCCGGTCGA